CGCTCTTCTAATCAAGTTAGCTCGCAAATTCGCTTGACGGCAGCACTTTTTTAAAACTCATTACATAAACAGGCATTTGCAATGTAATGTCGAAAAATACTGGATTCATGGAGACTGCCTACAACCGGTTAGTAAGCTTTTTCAGAACATTACAGTACATTACAGCGTTACCAACCACGAAAGCAGTGAAACTACTGTCATGGTATTGGCGTAAGGTGATTGTGGACGGCCGAGACATTAAGACGAGTCAGGACCAGCCCTAAAAGACAACAGATTGCAGGGAAAGGAAAGATGATGAATCACACGCCACAGATCATAAGTAACGGGAATTAGCCAAGAACTGCAATGGTTGTTCTAGTTCTCACACTCGAGGAAGACGATCAGCAAACGGGGGCTCCCCGTTCTAAAGGGACGTGAGAACAGAATAGGATGTAGTGGCTCCAGAGGTGATACAATGATAGTGTTGCTCGTATTTGAATGGAACACATACAAGGCCTAAGCGTAGATGGGAGAATAATATTAAAATGGTTCTGAAATACACAGGAAGGTGCGGACTTGATTGAATGAAAGGACTGTTCCATAGAGTGAATTAGTTGTTATAAATTATTTCAAAATATTTTGATGCTTAAAAAGGCTTCCAAACGCACCCCACTGTATAATCAAAAGACTGTAAAGAATATGAATTGTTACAGGCAGTAATAAGGTTCATATTTTTTAATATCTTGCCTTTTTATAGAAAATACCGATTGTCACGCTTTTCGAAAATCGTTCAGTTCACCATCTTGTTGATATTTTATTCCGCCAACATTATGTAATCTTATGTCAATTAAAGTAACTTCCTTAGTTCTTTGCGCGTAAGTTTCTTGTATTGTAAGGCCGGAAAAAGTAAAAACGTCTATAATTATGCCTATTCTTTCATGAGTACTGAATAACGACCGTTGCTTTCGAGTGGTTAGCATTCCAGCCTCATATTTCTTAGATCCCGGATTTAAAACTCGGCCCGGATACCAATTATCCTGATCGAAGTTTACGATAATTTTCCGCATACCATGAAAGTTAATTCTGGACAATGTATTAAATAGGCCACGGCCGCTTCCTTCCATGTAATGTTTAATAAATAGTTCATTAACAGTCCTGTCGATCGTTTCACGTTCTCAAGGCTACAGTTGCGAAGATGGCTGTCTTCTGGGTTGGTAAGTAGTACAGTCTTGTAGGTACTACCCGACATTTCAGAGATGCCTACTTCGTCCATTAACAGGGTGATCATACTAGGGAGTAAGAACTTCATACTCTGTAACTTCCATACTGTTGTTAAGTAACATACGAATCGTCCAGTCAGGTCTGCGCCAAAGAATTTTCCCTGAAGCATGTTGTAAGCCTATTGACTAATTTCTAATTAACTGTTCTCAGTTCCACTAGCACATACATTAAACGATTACATGACAGCTGTCACTACAATCATAAGGCACCGCTCCAACTGGGTGGAGCAAACGTTCACAAATCATTTCCAGAAACACAAATTATGCACCTCTGAACTTCATAAAATCTGCCATGTGAAGTTGAAATATGAGCATTGGACAGCATTAAATATCGTGACGGCTTGCTTTCGGGAACCACGCTCCGTGGATAGCAGAAGATTTCTAACCTTGACCAAACCTTGGCCTTGTTGATGGAACGCGGTAAATAAAATTCCCACCGACAGGGAATTTTCGAAGACCAAGGCGAGTCACTGTCATTTTAAAATATTAACGTATATATTATTCGTTTGTTCAAGAACGCTTTAATTAGCCAAAATTATATCCTTGGAGCTCTGTAAGAAGGGCTTACAACAACAAAATTTTAGTTTGTCTTAACCATTCTTACCGAGAGTTGAATCTAGTCCGCCGTGTAATATGAATATTATTAATAGTAAAGGAAGGGGTTGTGTCTAATTTAATATACTGTCCCGGAATTTCATGTATGGACTGAGGAAACCACAATAAATCTCAGGATATATATTATCCAGGCTGATACTTGAACGTAGGATTTCCCATGTACAAAGCAGGTGTGATAACCACTTAACTGCAACGTTCTATCATTTTGGGCTTTTTACAAGTAGTATCTTCCCCCCAGGTTGGGAAGCCTGAGGGAAGAGACAGCTGGGGAGACCTAGACGTAGATGGGAGGATAATCTCAGGCGGGATCAATGAGAAATAGGAGTCGAAGGAGATTGGATTTTGTTGGCCCAGGACAGGGTCCGGTGGAGGGCATTGGTTAGCTCGGTGATGAACCTTTGGGTTCGGTAAGCCATCTAGTTAGTTAGTTAGTATCTTTCACTATAATGTATTCTGAAAAAGACGAACACGTAATTAAAGCGAGCATTTGTTGAGTCACGTATCTGATCTGTAAGTTCCTCTTAAGGTAGCGGCTGGTGCAGCGTCTCGGTACAAAGACCAGTTCACGTCTCTTGACACCCAGCCCAAATGTTTTTAAGTAAGTGAACCATTTTAGCCAGAACACGCGGGATTTTTTTATTATTGCCGAAAATACCTGGGAGCGTCTTAAAGTCACATCATCAATATGTCTACTTTGGAGTAACAACAGCAGCATTCCATTCCAGACTATGAAAACTTATGTATTAAAATGTGCCAACATTTTTTAAATTTATTTGTTCTGCATCCCGTAAAGCAAAATGTGATTAGGCGAGACAGTTCAGTAGCATTATATATTTCTTCTACAACACAATTACTTATTCTATTAAAATTTAATAATGGCGATTCCGTGAACTTTGTTTTAAAAACTAGGCAAAATTTAAGGTTTTTGACGATGGTAAAAATATGGATCGTCCTGAGATTAAGAACTATATTGTACTGCATTAAACGCAGTGGCCGAAAGGCACTCCTGCCTGAAGACCGAAAATTCTGATTGATGTTTCTTGTGTTTCTTCTGTTACACCCGGAAAATTCCGAGATAATACCTTAAATTAGGCCACTACATCTTCTTTCAAATTCCTTTTCAATACGTAATCAACCGAAGCTATATAGATACAGTCTGGCCTATTAACAACGTCTTTAAATGAAATACGATTAAAT